TGTCCCTGTGCAGTGGCTCTGTAGCTCTGCTTCCCGAGGGTGGTCTTCACGTGGTCCAAGTGCAGCAGTAGAGAAGTCCTTTCTTCCATGCCCTGTCCCCACTCATTCATTTCTTGTTTTACTTTTTCATGTTTCTTATGCATAGATAAGTGTACAGGCTGGGGTGATGGCTTAGTGGCAGAGCGCTTGCCTAGCACTGGGTGTGAGGCCCTGGGTTTGATCCTCAGCACCACATAAAAAGAAATAAATAAAATAACGGTAGTGTATCCATCTACAACTAAAAAAAAAAAAAATAGATAAGTGTACTTGTGTGTGTGTGTGTGTGTGTGTGTGTGTGTGTGGTGTGGTGCTGTACCACTAAGCTACATCCTCAACATTCTTTTCGTGTGTGTGGGGGGGGTAACAGAGGGTTGAACTCAAGAGCAATTGACCACTGAGCCACATCCCCAGCCCTATTTTATATTTTATTTAGATTAGAGACAGGGTCTCACCGAGTTTCTTAGCGCCTCGCTTTTGCTGAGGCTGGCTTTGAACTCACAATCCTCCTGCCTCAGCCTCCTGAGCTGCTGGAATTATAGGCACGCACCACCTTGCCTGATGCCAGCACTCTTTTTTTTTTTAATATTTTAAATTTGTAGATGTACACGATACCTTTATTTTATTTATTTATTTTTACATGGTGTTGAAGATCGAACCTAGTGCCCTCACATGTGCTAGGCAAGCACTCTACCACTGAGCCACAACCTAGCCCTCGATGCCAGTACTCTTTATTCTTATTTTGAGATAGGATCTTGCTAAGTTTAATGAGGCTGGCTTTGAACTTGCTGTCTTTCTGCCTCAGCCCTGAGTTGCTGGGATTAGTGGTGTGTTTCACCATGCCTGGCTTCCAATAAGAGTTTATTTAATTAATCCCCTTTGATAGACATTTAGTTGCTTTTCTGTGTTTTATGTCATAAATTCTGCTGCATTGAGTGGCCAGATGGCACTTCAGGTACTTCACAATGAACACAAGGAATACCCCAGTGATGAGCCCTGGGGATGGCCTGCACTGCCTCCTACATCCACAGTGATCAGAGTGACCATTTGTCCTTCACTGCGTGGGGCTGCCCATGGCCTCAGGGTACAGGCCTTTGAGCGTAGAGCTGCCTCCTATGGGTCCTCCTCCCCAGTGGCTAAGCAGGCTTCATGTGGTTCGCTGAGACCCCCAGGCACAGTTCTCGTGGCATTCTGCCGGCCCCTGCACCTGGTGCCCACATGTTGCAGCCCCTCTCCCAAGGCACTGCATTCTGCCTCTTGTTGACAGATGCACGCTATAGACATTGTTCTACAGAATGGCTCCATGTCATTGACTGTTTTTTTCGTACTGGGGATTGAATCTAGGGGTGCTCTACCAATGAATTACATCCCAGCCCTTTTTATTTTTTATTTTGAGACAGGGTCTCGCTAAGTTGCTGAGGCTGGCCTTGAGGTTACGATCTTCCTATCTCAACCTCTTGAGTCGCTGGGATTACAGGTGTGCTCTACTGTGCCTAGCCATGATTTACTTTTCCCAGAATGATGGGCGTCTAGGGAGTCTCCCATTTTTTTGCCATGATAGATATTGGTACAAACAATCTGAACTCTTCTGGTTGTGAGTTACGGGAACCAGTTGCAACAAGCACAAGCATCACAGAAATGTAAAGTCCCCCAGAATCGGACTGAAGGAGGCAGGCCAGGATGCCAGGCTAGCCATGTTGCTTCCTGGGACTCCTGTACTGGCTGCCCGGTGCTCTCTGCTGCCCACTGTGTGTATGCCTTCCCCCGTGGTATACAGCCACAGCAGGAGGACTCTCTTCCTGCCTCCCTGACACTATCCTGCCCCTCTGCCTGATTTGCTTTCGGCCTTCGGAGGGTGCTCCCAGAAGGGCTGTCAGAGGGGACATTTCAGGCCTGGGGCTGCACTAGCACCCTTGAGGTGCACCTGTATGCACCCTGAGAACAGGAGCCTGTAACAAGTGCCCCAGCTCTTCCCCTTCTTGGCATTTCTCTGTAGCTCCTAGTGTCTTCTTTCCTTCTGTGAACAGAGTGCACCTCCACCTGCCTCGTCCCTGTCTCTGGACAAATAAGGTGACTTGTGCTTCATAGCCATCAGACTCTGGGCTCTCACTGTACAGTGGGGTCTTGAGGTGGGTGTGTGAGACGCTGTGCTGGAGCAGCTAACAGGGCAGCTCTGGGTTAGGCGTGGGGATGATGGCGAGGACCTGCTGGAGGAAGGCTGTGGCTGGGGGCAGGGTGGGGTGGTGCTGAGGGTATCAGGCCAGGGAAGTCAGGTCATCCTAGAACCGTTGGAGCCTGGGCTGGATCTGGGTGCTGCCTTGATGCTGCCCCATGGTGCTCTCTGCAGTCTAGGGGTGGCTCAGTGGTGGGAGGCTGAGCGGTGGGGATGGGGCCAATATCCATCTGGGAGGCTACTCCCCACGGGGTTGCACTCTTCTGTGCAGCTTGCCTGGGCTTGGAGCTGAGAACTAGAATAAGTCAACCAGATTATCTGTTTGACATTCCGGGGAGGCTTGGAGATGATTTGTGGTGTGGTGGCCATTTGTTGGGCTTGCCCACTTTGAGGTTGGCCTCTGGAGGACGGATGGGCAGGCAGCATCTGGGGAACTGGGGCACTGGAGTTGATAGCTTTACTGGGTGGAGGTGGGTGCTGGACACCCCTGAAAGGAGACTGTCTGGGGTGGGTGCCTGCACGGTGGGCCTGGGCCTCCTTGGGCTCTCTGGGCACGTCCTTTCAGAGGAAGGAGTCCAGCAGGGTAGGGACTGACCCTAGCTCAGGTGGAGACTGTGCTCAGTCAGCCTCCAGCAGAGAGCTCAGCAAGGTGGGTGCATCCAGGGTGGGGACTGTTTTGGGGAGCCATATGGGGAAAGACAGAGCATCCCATGCTCACTCTTTTCATAGCAGCCAGAGGGTTCATGCTGCACCCTGAGGGGGCCTCAGAATGAGAACATTAAAAGTCAGCTGTGTTCCATTTGAAAAATGGTTGTTGCCAGCATGGTGGCCACACCTGTGATCCCAGCTGCTCAGGAGGCTGAGCACAAGGATTTCAAGTTCCAGGTCAGTCTGGGCAATTTAGCAAGTCGTATTTAAAAAAAAAAAAAAATATATATATATATATATATATATATATACACACACACACACACATACATATACACACAAATAAATATGTAAATATTTATTTACTTATTTATTTAAAGGATTGGGGTATAGCTCAGTGTTAGAGAGCCCCTGGGTTCAGTCCCTAGTCCAATATACACACACACAAGAGAAAGTGGTTGCTGTCCTCAGATTATTTTTCTTCTGTAGGACAAAAGCATCAGATATCTTTATATCAGCCAGGCTTGGTGGCACATGCCTGTGATCCCAGCGGCTTGGTAGGCTGAGGCAGGAGAATTGCAATTTCAAAGCCAGCCTCAGCAACTTAGTGAAGCCCTGAGTAATTTAGCAAGATTTTGTCTCAAAATAAAACATGGAAAGGGCTGGGGATGTGGCTCAGTGGTTAAGCACCCCTGGGTTCAATTTTGCCAGTGCAAAAAAATATATATACATATATCTTTCTACCCAGTGATGGGGTGGGTGTGGCTATTTGATCAGGTGGTCTTGGATCATTTTCTTTACCTTCATTGGACAGAGATGGGGCAGGCAGGGCAGTGGGCCTCCCTCTTTGCTGTGACCTCTTGGGGCAGACTGGGGCCACTTCCCTGACAGAATCCTGATGACAGAGAGATGCAGGTCCCACCTTGTCAGCCCTGTTGGGGAGGAGGGTATCTACCATGGGTGGCAGCAGGGAGGACTCTGTCACGTGGCAGGGTCTGGAATCCTTGTCCTTATGCTGGAGGAGCTAGCAGGGTACCTACAGAACCCAGCCTGGTTGTCTTGAGTAGGGATGATGGACCTGCGAGGGTGACAGCAGGACTGGGGAGTCTGGGCAGGGTGTTGGGCTGGTTTACGTCAGCCCTGGCCCTAGCAGTCTGCAGAGGTGGCCAACTTTGGAGCAGGCTGCTCACAGCAGAGTTCTGTTGGGAAACCTCTTGACCTACGGAGCGCACACCAGTCCAGGGCTAAGGGCCCTACTGGTTCTGCCCCTAGGAAACTCAGACCAAGCTCACAGGGGCTAACTCTACCAGGTCAGGCCTGTCAGAAGGGACCTGGCCAGCCTAGCGGCATCTGGCGTGGCAGTCCCCTTCAAGGCAAAAGGGGTGTTTGTTGAGACCCTTGGCTAGGGGAGAATGGGGTTAGTGTCTAGGTTGCCGAGAGGCCTGGCTGTGTGGAGAATAGGATTCTGGGTCACCATCTCTGGGCAGTGTGTGACTGTTCCTTCTGAGGAACAGAGCAGTGGGTGACCATAGCTTGTGAGGAAAGGGACCAAGATGGGCACTCCAGCAAGGTTGTACCTCTCAGCTTACAGCCTAAGCTGTTTGCCTGTTGGTCCCTGTAGACCTCAAGGCAGGTCGGTCACCTGTGCCTGTAACCATACAGCCCAGGTTCCCAGGATGGTTGGAGTGTTGGCTGGCCCAGGTTCCCAGGATGGTTGGAGTGTTGGCTGGCAAGGAGCAGGAGCATTTGGTAGAGTGAGGGGCTGGGGAGCTGATCACTGGCCAAGATCAAGGAGGCAGGGCGTGAACCCAGGGACTCAGGGGCAAACTTTGCCCCACACAGCACACAGGGATGGCTGGCTGGCTGGTTATGGGCAGTGCTCCTGGCTCTGCTCCCAGCGGTGTACCTGGGCATCCCCTTCTGCAGAGGGTGGGTAGGGAGCCTGAGGTGCCCTTCATTCTGCCTTTCCTAAGTGTGAGAGCTGAGCAGCCCCCCAAGGATTATTGCCCTGCACTGTGTTCCCCAGGTAGAAGGTGGGCCCCACACAAGGCAGGACCCCAGGGTGGCTGGGAGTGGTCTCACCAGAGCCTCTCTGCCCCACCCTCTGAGCTGGCCTTGATGTGCTTCCTTATTTGCTCTTCAGGTGTATGTGGCTGCCAAAAGGGGAGGCTCCCCTGAAGACACACTGACAGGCGCCTTGTGTCCTCTGTACCCTGGCTGCCTAGGGCTGACCTTATGTGGCCCACCTCATTGGTCCTGCTGTGCCGACTGGAGCACCATCAGGAGGGTGCAGGCAGGGCCCGGCCATGACTGCTCCTTGACCCCAGCCAGGCTCCTGAGGCCTAGAAAGAGCAGAAACTCCAAGGGGCTCTCAGGGCCCGCTGTGGACTGGCCCTGCCCTCCCTCTCCCTTGGCAAGGTACCAGGAAGCTAGAGCTTTGTTATCTGGGTAATTAGCTTCAGACCCTGGACTGAGTCCGGCCAGGTCTTAGGGCTACGTCCCACAATAGGTGTACCCTGATCTCAAAAGGGAAGTGAGGTGCTGCCTGTCTAGAGCCCCTGCTATCTGAGCAACCAAGGGGCCAGGCCTGCGTGGGACCAGCTGTGGCATCCTTACACGCCCTTCCTGCTTGGGCTGTGCCCCTCAGGGCTGCCTGGGCCTGATCACAGCCTCGCCAGGGGCCAAGGGCACAAGCCTCAGGAAGGGAATGCCCTCAAAGGTGTCAGTCCAGCCAGCCGCTCTGCCACTCAAGCCTGGTCTGACCCCCATCCCCTGCACTGCGGTACCCCAAGCAGCCCTGTGGGTAGACACCCCCGACCATGGCTGAGCACCTGGAACTACTGGCAGAGATGCCCATGGTGGGCAAGATGAGCACCCAGGAGCGGCTGAAGCATGCCCAGAAGCGGCGTGCCCAGCAGGTGAAGATCTGGGCCCAGGCTGAGAAGGAGGCCCAGGCCAAAAAAGGCAAGTGGAAGCAGCTGCAGAAGGAGGCAGCTGGCCGAGGGCCCCCGAAGCAAGTTGTCTTCCCTCCCAGCATTGTCCTTCTGGAAGCTGCTGCCCGAAATGACCTGGAAGAAGGTGAGTGTACTTGTCCCAGGGTGGTACACAATGGCACTCCCATCCATGTGGGTGTGGCCTCATCGTGTGTTGGGCTCTGGGCTGGGCCTGTGCCCGTCCAGCACTCTTGGGCTTTAGCCACAGGGCAACCAGGGTCTCTTGTTAGGACAACCCACACTGAGACAGCTCTTCTTCAGCAGAGGCCTCATGCAAAAGGTCCTGCTGTGAGGCAGGCCAGTTGAGAGAGTACCAGGCTGCAGGGGGCGCCCATCAGGGCCTGCAGAAGCATCCAGTGTATGGAGCTGAGCAGGCGACAACTCTCACCGCCTCTTGTAAGGATGCTAGGCTGTGGGTGAGCGCCCTGGCCTCTGCCGGCTGTTCCCTGAGTCCCACCTCTGCAGAGTAGGGTGGTAATACATACTTCCAGTTGCAAAGAGTAGGGCAAGCTGACCCAGAGCCCACACGGCTGACCCCTCTCGCAGCTGCCCTCAGTGTTCCCTTTGACTCCTTCCTTACCATTGGAGCCTTCCCAGCCTGATGACAGCCTGACCTTTCTGCAAGCCCCTCTTCCTCTCCATGCCTCGTATTTGTAACCCACTGAGTACAAGGCTCTGGAGTCTGGGGAGGAGACCTCTTGATTTTTCTTAAGGGCTCTTCCTGTCTCTTTTGGGGGCAGAGGTGAGGAGGAGTGGGCAGTGACTGTGCAGGAGCCCTCCTGAGACCTGGAGGCTGGGAGGGGACCTGTAGAGAAGGGTGCTATGTGTGCCACAGGCCTAACCACAAGGAGCTGTGTCTTACTGCTGCATGGCCAGAGAGGCCCCCAGGGACCTTGGCAAGAGCGTGGTCTGAGATAGGATTTCTGAAGGGGAGCAAGGGCAGGGACAGGCACTGGTTGAGGGGCTGGGCTCAACATCAGGAAGATCAGAGGAGTGTAAGCCCCTATGCTGGGAGCTTAGGGTGGAATCACCGGCAAGCTGTCTCACAGGAGGGCCGGTTCTGCCGTCTTAGGGGTTGGGTGTCATGATAGGAGAGGGGCTGGTGCTGCTGTGTGTGTGGCCTATTTGGGGCAGACAGACACCCCAGGCTCCTTGAGTCTGCATGCTTCCTGCCATCTATACCAGTCTTCTTCTCCCTTCCCTGATCCCTGGGCATCAGCATCATGGGCCCAGGTGGCCTTGGGCCAGGGATGGCGTAGGCCAGTCAAGGCCTCACCCAGACGTCACCACCCCCTTCTTACAGTCCGCCAGCTCCTCAGGAGTGGAGTCAGCCCCGACCTGGCCAATGAGGATGGGCTGACAGCACTGCACCAGGTCAGCCTGTGTGCGGGTGGGCAGGGCAGGGGCTGGCAGGGCTCAGGCCACTCAGGCTGTGTGTTTGCAGTGCTGCATTGATGATTTCCGAGAGATGGTGCAACAGCTCCTGGAGGCTGGGGCTGACGTCAATGCCCGTGACAGCGAGTGCTGGACCCCCCTGCATGCTGCAGCCACCTGTGGCCACCTGCACCTGGTGGAGCTTCTCATTGCCCGGTAGTGTCCATTGGGCCTTTATCATGGAGGGGCTTTCTCACAGATGGCAGCTCATGTGGCTATTCTGTGAAGCTGGTCAGGTCCTGGCTTCCTGTGTCCTCACCTCTGTCCATCCTGCTTGAGACCCCTGGGGGATAGTTTGGGCCCACCTGGTAGGCTGGACCACCAGCTCTGGATGGAGGGCCTTCTCATGGTCTCCCCTGAGAAATGCCATTCTGGTTAGGGTTGAGGGTAGAACTAATAAGGAGGTAAGGGGAGCAGAGAGGCCAGGTGGGTCTCGGAGGGTGTGCGTGGGTATAGGTGAGGACTTTTCTCCAACAGGAAGGAAGGTGGAGTGGGGAGTGGCGGTAAGCCCTGTAACTCCAGCTACTTGGGAGGCTGCGACAGGAGGATCTCAAGTTCAAGGCCAGCCTGGGCAACTTAGATCTTATCTCAAAGATTTAAAAAAAAATGTTTTGGTGGTATTGGGGATTAAACTCAGGATCTCATGCTAGGCAGTCATTCTACCACTAAGCTATATCCCCAGCCCTTTAAAGTAAAAAAATAAAAAATATAAAAGTAAAAATTAATAAAAGGACTGAGGATGTAGCTCAGCTTTTGCCAAGGGTGGACGTGGCTTTGGGTTCAATCCCTAGTTACACACACACACACACACACACACACACACAAATAAATAAATAAATAAATAGGACTGGGGATTTTACTTAGTGTTAAAGCACACCTGGGCTCAGTCCCCAGTACTGGGGGATGGGAGGAGGATGGAGCAGAGGAGGTTAGTGGCTTCCTCAGGTTCAGGAGCCTGTCCTTCCTCCCCCAATCCTGGGCCTCTCCAGTAGATCAGAGATCCTCGTGTGGGTGACTGGCTGTTGCCATCACACATAAGTGCCTCCTCTGAGTAGAGCAGTAGCCATGCAGCAAACAGGCCCCCAGGCTCCCCTTGGAGCTGGTGACAGGCTGCAGGTGGGTTCCAAACCTTAGGCAGCCCCTCTGTGTCCTTTGCTCCCCTCAGCTCCCCTTCCCCCAGGCCTGCTTCCCCTGATCTGTGGGCTCAAAATCAGCAACTGCTTGGCTTTCTTGCTTCACTTCTCCCTGGGGTCCCCAGAGTGCCGCGTACCTCCTGCAGGTGTACCCTGTATTTATGGGGGACAGATGGGTGCCTTGGGCCTTGAAGCCCAGGTGGGTAGACTGCAGGATGGCCTGTCTGCCTGAGGAACAAGATCCAGAGCTGAGGGGCTGCCAGATGAGCCCAGAGGCTTCCTCTCCCAACAGCAGCTAGAACCTACGTGTCCTCCCCATGTCTGCCGGCACTTCCTGAAGGCAGCCCGAGGCTGGGGGCTTCTGCTCAGGGAGGACTTGCTGAAAGGGGCCTGGGCAGCCGGCAGCTGTCACCCGTCCTCCCTGCAGGGGTGCTGACCTCCTGGCAGTCAACACTGATGGGAACATGCCTTATGACCTGTGTGAGGATGAGCAGACACTGGACTGCCTGGAGACTGCCATGGCCAGCAGGGGTGAGTGTGCTGTGCCTGCCTGCTCGGGTGGGCCTGGCCATTGCGTCTCTGAGCCTGCTGCCCCACAGGCATCACCCAGGACAGCATTGAGGAGGCGCGGGCCGTGCCGGAGCTGCTCATGCTGAAGGACCTCCAGAGCCTTCTGCATGTTGGGGCCGACCTCAATGCCCCGCTGGACCATGGAGCCACACTGGTGAGGACTTGGCCACGTGGAGGGGGTCTCTTGAGGGGCTGGGGGCTTGTTGGGTGGGTGTGGGACTGGGATTCAGGGCGGGTGGCCTGCCTGCAGCTGCACATGGCCGCCGCCAGTGGGTTCAGCGAGGCAGCTGCCCTGCTGCTGGAGCATGGAGCCAGCCTGAGTGCCAAGGACCTCGACGGCTGGGAGCCGCTGCACGCTGCCGCCTACTGGGGACAGGTGAGTGTGCTCAGGAGCAGATGCTGGGCGGGCCCTGGGCTGCGGCTCAAGCCCTCAGCGGCCCCCCTGGCCGGCCTGCAGGTGCACCTGGCGGAGCTGCTTGTGGCAAACGGGGCCGACCTGAATGGGAGATCCCTGACGGATGAGACACCCCTTGGTGAGCTCCAGGGCTGCCTGCACCTGGGGGAAGGGACGGGCAGGGAGGGCCCCTGTGACGCTGGCGGTCATCTCTCAGATGTCTGTGGTGATGAGGAGGTGCGGGCCAGGCTGCTGGAGCTGAAGCAGAAGCAGGATGCACTCTTGCGAGCCCAGGGCCGTCAGCGCTCCCTGCTGCGCCGCCGCGCCTCCAGCGCAGGCAGCCGCGGGTGAGCCCCCCCACAGTCCATCCCCAGCCCCCACCCCGGCTGTGCCTCGGGATGCATGGCATGTCAGCCTGCAGGTGGAGCGGCCAGCACAACTAGGCCGGGTCTGAGGGACAGCTGGTGTCCCCTCTCACCTCCACCTCACCCCGGCCTTCCAGGAAAGTGGTGAGGCGAGTCAGCCTGACCCAGCGCACCGACCTGTACCGCCAGGAGCATGCCCAGGAGGCCATCGTGTGGCAGCAGCCACCACCCCCAAGTCCAGAGCCGCTGGAGGAGGACGAGGACCACCAGACAGACGCAGAGCTCTGGCTGCCACCCCCAGAGGTGAGAGTCCTGGCCTGGTGCTACCCACCTTCCACGTGGCCTTGGCATTGGTCCTAGGCTGTGACCTGGCATCAGTATGTGATTTCCCATTCACATTGGTCCAGTGTGGAGCTGGGAGGACCAGTGACCTTGTGCTCCTAGGTGGGCCATGCTCCTCAGGGCTGGGCTGTTGTCCCCCTGCCCCTCACGGTTGCTCTTCTACAACCTTGTAGCCTAGATCCTGAGGCCAGGGCAAGTAAGAGGAGCTGCCTCCTGACAGCCTTGGGCCCTGATTCTGCCCACAGGAAGATGACCCTGAGGCGGCCAGGTCCCACAATGGCCGAGTAGGGGGCCCCCCAGGGCGGCACCTGTACTCCAAGCGGCTGGACCGGAGTGTGTCGTACCAGCTGAGCCCTGTGGAGAGTACCACCCCAGACACCCTTGTCCGGGACAAGGCCCACCACACCTTGGCCGAACTCAAACGCCAGCGGGCTGCTGCCAAGCTCCTGCGACCACAGCCTGAGGGGCCTGAGGCCCCTGAGTCTGGCCTGTCTGCTGACCCCGTGTCCTCCCAGCCGGACTGCGGCTTCGGGGCAGGCGGGGACCCACCCCTGCTCAAGCTCACAGCCCCATCCGAGGAGGCCCCGATGGAGAAGAGGCCATGCTGCTTGCTCATGTGAGGGGCTGTACCCATTTCCAGGCCAGCCCGAGGCTTGCCCTGGAGGCCCACTCAGGGTGTGCCCTGGAACTGCAGGTGGGCAGACACCAGAGTCTTCCCCAGCTTCTACCCCTCAGGACAGTGGACTCTCTGTGGGGATGGACTTTAGGCAGAGCCGTATCTGCAGGCATCTGCTGCAGAGTGTTTGTCCTGTGACGCTTGATAAAGGGGTGTTTCTCCTCAAGCCTTCCAGTGTCTCCGCTGGGGAGGGGCAGGTGGTGCTGCTGGACAGGTGCCGCCCATGCCCACGAGCAAGCACTCAGGCCTGTAGGTGCGTGCTGGGGCTCGCAAGTAGAGGCCTGGCCCCTGTGTGGGAGGGAGGCCCAAGGGCCACTGGGCAAGAAGCCTGGCCTTTCCCCACACCCTCCCTGCTATCTTCGACTTCCTGGAAGCACTGTTAACTCTTTGTTTTCCGGAGGGCAGTAGGGTACTTTAGAAGGAACCTCTTTTCGGGCCAGAGCTGAGGGGGACCATACCAAGGGGCAGGAGTCCTGACCTGCCAAGGGAGGGCGTATTTTTTCCAGGATTCCTGGGCCAGAGCCAGTAGAGCAAATCTGGCACGGCCGGCATCAGGCACTTCCCAGGGGCAGTGGTTCCCCAATTCGTGGCATGTTGCCCTGATCCTGGGCCCTGGCTGCCAACTTCTGCCTGGGCTGGTATAGGTGACAAGCACTTGGCCACTCAGGCTCTGAGCTGGCTGGATACAATGTGTAAGGATGAAGGGGCCCCTTAGGGGCCTCAAGCTGGAGGGCTGAGGGCACTGCCAGATCATCTCTCTGTCCACCGTAGGCAGCCCTGCAGGGCCACCCGCCCTGGGTGGTATGAGTTTAGGCTACCCTCCTCTCCTTGCTGGGTACTGACCTGGTCTGCTCAGTGTCCAGGGCCCGCCTGCCCTTCTAGCATCTGTGGTTGGAGGGTTGCTGCCCTTAGCAGGTCTGGGGGAGGGCCAGGGGCTAGCTGCTGGTTAAATTTAGTGAGTGGGGCGGTACCTCTGCCTAAGGTCCACCTACCACCACAGCTGCCACTTGGGCCCTGATGCCAGAAGTCAGGCAGTGGCTGGCTCTGACTGGGGCCGGGCTCATATTAACCTGTCCTCTGATGTGAGGGCCAAAGGACAGGCCTGTGAATTGGGAGGCCATTGTGGCAGCAGAACTGAGAGGTGCAAGTTGAGAGAGGTATGTGTGTGTGTCTGTGTGCATGTGTGCGCGCGCGTGCATTCCCCACTTAGAACTCCTGGTGGCTTCTCTCCCAATCTGCAGAAACAGAGGAGCCAAGGCTCCCCTTCCGTCTAACCAGCTGCTACTGCCCAGCTCAGAGGGCTGGCTGCCCGACTGTCAGTTCACCCTTGGATCTGGCTGGCCTGGCAGCCTGCAGAGGCAAACCCTGGGAATGGCCTGTGAGCCTGTGGAGGTGGGGTTCTGGGGGCCTATCGCAGTTTACTTCCTGCTCTCTCCACCAATCAGGAAGGAGGGAAGGTGACAGGCTACCCCCGCCCCCCATGCCTGGGGTGTGGCCCCAAGGGCAACCCCAGGCTCCTGTGTGTTGAAAGGGTGTGAGGGCCACCTGGGGCAAGGGGTTCGCCTGCCCTGTCTCCAGCCCTCCTCCTCCCTCCAGCCCCTTGCAATGCTGATCAGGGACCAGGTCCAGCTGCAGTGTTGGAGTCTCTGGGCCACGGCCGTTGCCCTGGTGGAACTCAGAGTCTCTACTCCTCACTCGCCCCCCCCAGCCCCCCCAGCATTCCTAAGGCCTGGCTGTCACCTAGGAGACAGGTCTGTCTGCTGGCCTAAGAAAAGATGGGGGTGCCAAGAGGGCTAGGCCTCAGCCGTGCCCTGCTGAGGTAAATCCAGTGGCTACTGGCTCCAGTCTCACCTTAGGGGTCACCCCTACCCAACTCTGCCAACCTCTCAGGTCTACTAGGCCCAGGCATGGAGCCCTTCCCTCCCCCAACACCAAGGCCGCCTCTCCCTACCCCCCACGTGGGTCTCCTGCTCTCCTGTCGTGGGGACACTGGGCGGGCACTGGGACTCACCCCAAGCCCCGCCTGCTGCCTCACCCACGCCCTCTGCCTCCCTGGGGCAGAACTGTGCCCAGACTGTGGGGTGGAGCCCTTTCTGTCCCTGTCTTTGGAGCCAGTAGGCTGCAGTGAAGCGGGTGTCCTCTCACGCTGAGCTCCCTGATTCAGGCTCCCTCTCCCATCCTGAGCTCCCAAGCCTGGACCCTGCTGCCCCCACCACCACCTCTGGGCCTGCCACCTCCTGAGCCACCTTCCTGCCTGATCTGAGCAGAGTCATGGCCTTGAGAGTAGGTGACCAGAGCCGGGCTGCAAGGAATGGGCTGAGGGACAAGGTGCTGACACTGGACTCCATGAACCCGTGTGTGCGCAAGGTGGAGTACGCCGTGCGTGGCCCCATAGTGCTGCGGGCCTTGGAGCTGGAGCAGGAGCTGCGCCAGGTACGGTCCTGAGGCCCTGCTACCCTCCGGCTGCTCCTGGGACAAGGGCTGTGGGGGTAGTGGTGCCCAGTCTGGCTGCCTTCTCCCTTTCCCTCCCAGGGTGTGGAGAAGCCCTTCACCGAGGTCATCCGTGCCAACATTGGAGATGCACAGGCCATGGGGCAGAGGCCCGTCACTTTCTTCCGCCAGGTGAGGCTCCTGTACTGCTGGTGTGCCCTGGCTCCAGCCATCAGGGTGCCCTGACCTCGTCATTCCGCCCGCCCAGGTCTTGGCCCTCTGTGTCCACCCAGATCTCTTGGACAGCCCTGACTTCCCTGAGGATGCCAAACGAAGGGCTCAGCGCATCTTGCAGGCTTGCGGGGGCCACAGCCTGGGTGAGTGCTGGTGCCAGGCGGGGACCAAGCCCCAGGAAGAAGCAGAGAAGGGTGGATCTCTTGGGAGGGTTGCGGGAGGACTAGCCACTTTCATGGGTCTGCTCTGCTCTGCTTGCCGGAGTCCAGGGGCCTATAGCATCAGCTCTGGCATCCAGCTGATCCGTGAGGATGTTGCACGGTACATCGAGAGGCGAGATGGAGGCATCCCGGCCGACCCCAACAACATCTTCCTGTCCACGGGTGCCAGTGATGCCATCGTGGTAGGCTGGGCCAGGGCAGGACACAGTGGCTCTTCATCTGGGGTTGCACAGGGCAGGGGCTGGGTGCAGCCCCTTGGCCCTGCCAACACTGCGCTCCTCCCCCTGCCCACAGACGGTCCTGAAGCTGCTGGTGGCTGGTGAGGGCCGCCGGCGTACAGGCGTGCTCATCCCTGTCCCGCAGTACCCGCTCTACTCGGCCACTCTGGCGGAACTGGACGCGGTGCAGGTGGACTACTACCTGGATGAGGAGCGCACGTGGGCACTCGATGTGGCTGAGCTGCGGCGCAGGCTGTCTCAAGCACGTGACCACTGCTGCCCACGCGCGCTCTGCGTGATCAACCCCGGCAACCCCACCGGTGCGCCACCTCCCTGCCCCACCTACCCTGACCCCTCCAGCTGCTACATGCTCCTAGGCCCACCACCATGGGTCAGTCAACCGCCACTGTCCAGATGAGCAGGGGTGGGGTGGTGGGTGCCCGCAGTTGACCCTGGCCGCGCTGCTGTCCCCAGGGCAGGTGCAGACCCGGGAGTGCATCGAGGCTGTGATCCGCTTCGCATTCGAAGAGGGACTCTTTCTGATGGCTGATGAGGTGCTTACAGGGATGCGCAAGGGAGGGTGGCTGCGGGTCACGGGCGGCCGCGTGACGACAGCGCCCCTGCAGGTGTACCAGGACAACGTGTACGCAGAGGGCTCGCGCTTCTACTCCTTCAAGAAGGTGCTCACCGAGATGGGCCCACCGTACGCCACGCAGCAGGAGCTTGCCTCCTTCCACTCAGCCTCCAAGGGCTACATGGGCGAGTGCGTGTGGGCCGGTGGGGGGGTTCTTGGACTCCAGCCACTTTCCTGCCCCCTCTGCCCGGCTGGGCCTCGACCTTGACGCCTGCCCTACCTGGCAGGTGCGGGTTCCGCGGTGGCTACGTGGAGGTGGTGAACATGGACCCCGAAGTGCAGCGGCAGATGCTGAAGCTGATGAGTGTGCGGCTGTGCCCGCCTGTGCCGGGCCAGGCCCTGCTGGACATGGTGGTCAGCCCGCCAGCACCCTCTGACCCCTCCTTTGCGCAGTTCCAGGAGGTGAGGGAAATGAGGCCAAGGGCATCTGGCGAGCCAGTTGGGAAAAGGATTGAGGGCTACTGTGTCCCTGCCCTGCCCTGATTGTCCCCTCCGTGGCTGCAGGAGAGGCAAATGGTGCTAGCTGAGCTGGCGGCCAAGGCCAAGCTCACGGAGCAGGTCTTCAATGAAACTCCTGGCATCAGATGCAACCCAGTGCAGGGTGCCATGTACTCCTTCCCTCGAGTGCAGCTGCCCCCCCGGGCGGTCCGGCTTGCTCAGGTCTGGTGGGGCAGGGCAGGGTGGGGCCGAGGCCTGGGCATAGAGCTCTGACCGCCCTCCACACCGCAGGAGCTCGGCCTGGCCCCAGACATGTTCTTCTGCCAGCGCCTCCTGGAGGAGACCGGGATCTGCGTGGTGCCTGGGAGTGGCTTTGGGCAACTGGAGGGCACCTATCACTTCCGGTGAGACCAGGCCCGCACAGCCTGCCAGTGCCTGCTGTGCCCCCTTTGGCTTATAGCTTGCCCTTTCCAGGATGACCATTCTGCCCCCCATGGAGAAGCTTCGACTGCTGCTGGAGAAGCTGAGCCGTTTTTATGCCAAGTTCACCCGGGAGTACTCCTGAGGCCACCACAGGGACCAGGCTGGGCTGCCTGGACTGACTCTGCCCAGGGACCTGGTGGTCTCTGGACCCCTCAGAACTTGCTGCTGCCCCTTGGGGGCTGGGCATCTCTCTCTGCCAGTTCCTAATAAAGCTGAGTGTGGTTATGACTCTGGAGGGGTGAGCCCCACTTCCATGGGTGATGACTCCACCTTCGGCTGCCCCGACTACCTTCATTGCAGGCTTGGGGACCCCACTTAAGGGACACCAGGGCCCATCTTCAGGAGCAGTGGTCAAGGTGGGCTCCCAGAGAAGGACCCTCCTGTCTAGTATCCACCTGCTAGTCCTAGAGACAGCACCTCATGGGCTGGCTGTCCATTCCCTTGGTCTGACAAGTCACATAAAAATCAGGTAATGGTACCAGTAAGGACAGGCCACCTGTGCCTCCTGGGGCAGCCCCAGATCCGTCAGGGAGGAGATGAGACTTGATAGTGAATCACAGGGGCAGTGGCACCAGAGAACCCCCGTCAGAGAAAGTAGCCTTTTCTGAAGAAGAAAAAAGGTGTGTACTGCACCCCTGCTCTTCCTCTGCCAGCAGGAGGGGGCTGGCTGGGCTCTCTCCTACTGGGGAGTGACAGGGCTCAAGGTGGCAGTGCCCACCTGGGTTCTGCAGGAGGAGGGGGAGATCTTGGTGCGAATGCAGCCCTCTTGACTGGGAGGCCTGGAGGCGGAAAAGGGATGCTGAGGGCAGAGTACCTTGAGGAAGTCCCGCGTCCTTGCCTCTGAGACGCAGGACGGAGGGCCCGTTGGGTGCACCCTGCAAACACAGCTGTGGATCATATTTGATCCGCAACAGTGTTCCTCTGAGGTAGGCATGGTAGTCCCATTTTATAGATGAGAAAATTTGGGCTCCAAGACTCTGGAAGTGACGGGACACTAGTGATTCAGAAGCCACAGACATAAGCTGGCTGTCGAGATACACAGACTTTGAGACTTTTTTTTTTGGGGGGGGGGGGGGGGGGGTACTGGAGACGGAACCCAGGGTCCATCCCCAGTCCTTTTTATAAATTTTGAGATAGGGTCTTGCTGAAGCTGGTCTCAAACTCGCGATCCTCCTGCTGCTGGCTTCCAGAGTTGCTGGGATTTCAGGCCACCACGCCCAGGCTGGAGATGGTTCCTCAGCCTCATCCTGGCTTCCTTATCCCCGGAGGGCACAGCTCTGGGCAGCAGAGACTGCACTTGGGTCTCCCTTTCAGGGTCAGAGTCAGGAAGGGTTGGGCCTGATTGGTCAGGCTCCCCTCATTGCGGGGCAGGAGCGGAGGGTAGGGGCAGTGTGGTTGGCTGTGTCCTGGTTGAGCCCTGGCCCTGACCTTTCACGTAAGACCCCCGCCTTCCGCGGCCCTCGGTGGCTAGTACCTTGGGGAGAGGGCTAAAGCCACAAGCACAGCGGAGGACCAGTGACAGAAACACAGTCGACAGGTCACTTCTCCAAGGGGGCTGGATACTGGGAGGTACTTATAGAGCAGAGCGGATAACAGGGGGCGGGGCAGGGCTAGTGACCACTGAGCGGAGACGATGATTCCTATACTGGAGGCCAGCCCCTGGCCGTGGAGGCCACCACGGATGCCTGCGCATCAGGAGCTGGGGCTAACGGGCGGCCCTGCTCAGGCTGGCCACCAGGGGCGCCTGGGAGCCAGAGAGCCGACGCTCTGGGCCGCTCAGGATCTCAGTGGCTCACGCGGCCTTCCAGAGCGGGGCACGGGCTGCCGCGGGGCTTCTGCGGCTTCTCGCCCACGGTTTGCGTCCACACTCCGCTCCGGCTCGGGGCGGGGGGGCCCACAAGGTTTCCCCGGGACAGCGGTACGGAGCTGGGGGTACCGTGGAGGAGGCGCCATGAGGCCCAGCCCAGAGGGGCCTACTCGCCTCCCCAGGCCCCGCCCCGCGCAAAGCACGCTGGGAGCCGCGGGCTGCAGGAGCCGGCAGTCCTGCGGGGTGGAGGTCCCGGTTCTTACTGGCTGCTTTGTCCCAGCTTTGGTTCTTTTGGGGCATCGACAACCCCAGGACCTCAACGCGCGCATCCGGGCCCCAGCTTACCCTGCCCCTGACCCGGTGCGGATGGGACAATGCCGTGTCAGACCCCACCGGGGCCTCGCTCCCGGCCTGAGCCCGCCCGGGCCCTTCTGACACTGACCATGCACGGAAAGCTGCTGCCGCTGGCCAGTCTCTACTTGGTGCAGGGCCTGCCCTATGGGCTGCAGTCCAGCCTGCTGCCTATCCTGCTGCGGGCCCGCGGCCTCTCCCTGACGCGCGTGGGTCTAGCCAAAGGTCTGTATGCACCATGGCTGTTCAAGCTGGCGTGGGCCCCACTGGTGGACAGACGGGGCTCCCCGCGGACCTGGCTGACGCTCAGCACAGCGGCTCTAGGCCTAGTATGTGGGCTGCTGGCCGCACTGCCTCCCAACCAAGGTAGCCAGGACGCGCTGCCCGCCACCGTGATGGGGCTGCTGCTGTTGCTGAACCTTGGTGCGGCTGTGCAGGACGTAGCCCTGGACACACTGGCCGTCCAGCTCCTGGATCCAGCCGAGCTGGGACCCGGCAACACCGTGCAGGTGGTCGCTTACAAGCTGGGGGCAGCGCTGGCTGGGGGCGGACTGCTTGTTCTCTTGCCCACTCTGTCTTGGCCACTGGTCTTTGTGCTCCTGGCTGCCACCTACTGGCTGGCCGCTGCACTGGCCTGGACTGCACCAGCGCTGCACCAGCTACCATGGCCTCAGCCCGCAGAGCACACCCCACACCTGCAGGATTTGCTGGCTGCTCCCGAGACCCTGTGGACAGCAGGCTTTGTGCTCACCTACAAGCTGGGTGAGTTAAGTCTCAAGCCAGGCAACAACAGGACCGGGGCCTCAGGGACAGCTCCAGGTGGGTCCCCGAGGCCTCTGGGACCCACTTAAGGGGCCGCCCTCTTTCTTGGGCTGGCTCCAGAACCCAGCCTGGATCGCAGCACCCCGGGTTCTGCAACCTGGCCTTGCCTCTTGTCCTCCCTCAGCTCCAGCCCAAGTCCTAGCCCCTTGAGTTGCTCTGGTGTTGTTGTCTGCTGACCCTGGGCTCCACCAAATGCCCAGTGCATTTCTCTCCCAGCACCTGTGGCCCAGGATAATGGGGGCAGGGCAGGGGCCCAGGTGGGGAGAAGAGAAGTAGGGGCAGGCATGGGGATTGCTGCTGCTTCTGCAGGTGAGCAGGGCGCTGGCAGCCTATTTCCGCTCCTCCTACTGGACCATGGTGCTTCTGCCTCAGAGCTGGGACTCTGGAACGGCTTGGGTGCTGTGGCCTGCTCTATCACTGGATCCTCCTTGGGTGGAGCCCTACTGGCCAGGCATTGGTAAGCCCTTCTCAGCCTGCCCTGCCCCCTCCTCACCCTTGGCCCTGTCCTAGATCCTCTGACCTATAACCTCCCCACTCCCACCCCAACCCCAGGGAGCCACTCCTTCTGTTGAGGTCAGTGTTGCAGCTCCGCCTTGGGGGCTTGGCCTGCCAGACTGCTCTGCTCTTCTACCTGGACACTCCAGGGGCCAGTGTGGGCCCTGGCACACTCCTAAGAGGTGAGGGGCTGGCTTTGGGGGTGGAGGGTCCGGGAGTTTGGGGCCCTGCTGACCTCTCTTCTCTCAGGAGCAGCCTTGCTGAGCCTGTGTCTGCAGCACTTCCTGGGGGGCCTGGTCACCACTGCCACCTTCACTGTGATGATGCATTGCAGCCAGCTGGCACCCAGGGCCCTTCAGGTGAGGGGATGTGGCAGGGACACCCAGGAGCTGGGAAGGCCTGAGGCTCTGACCATACACCCCATCCCCAGGCAACGCACTATAGCCTCCTGGCCACTCTGGAGCTGCTGGGCAAGTTGCTGATGGGTGCCCTGGCTGGAATGCTGGCTGATGGTCTGGGCCCACATCCCTGCTTCACCGTCTTTCTTGTGCTCTCAGCACTGCCCCTTTTGGACCTTGGCCTGGCACCCAGCACCCTGGCCTGAACTGGGCGGGAGGACTGTCAATAAAGCCAAGTGTGCCTTTAGCCTGAATGTGTCTGCAGAATGGGAGGCACAGTTGTCCTCAGACTAAGGGCTGCCTTGCTGGAAAGGAGGGCCCATGAAAACAACTCAGACCCCTTTTATTCTGCATTTTGGAACCCCTTTGTCACAATTCAGTTGCTGGCAGATTTCAATACTGTGTTGATCATTGACAGCTGCACTGCTGCCTTGAGGAGTGGCCATGTGTCTACCTGACCTACATGGGGGCAGCAGCCTTGTGAGCAGGGCAGTCAGTCATCGGCCAACCAGTAGGAGCTCCTCTGTGGCCAGGTGCATCAGGGCCTGGAAACTCAGATGTAGGTACTTTCTCCAGAAGCGCTGGTCCTGCCCATATACCTGGGCTGGGTATCGAGGGCTTCCTGTGGGGGAGCAGAAAGACACAGACCTAAGGTGGGCTGGTTCCTGTCCCTAGCCCTGTCTGCATCAGGCAGCCCCTGGAGCCCTCACCAATGCCATGAAAGATACGAGCCACGGCCCTGCTGGAAAACCTCTCTTCTGGCCTCAGGGACAGGAGCTGGCGGATGTCATGGCGGACCTGGTCCTCCCAGTCCTGAAGCTGTGGGTGGACAAGCACATCAGACTTCCCTGAGCTTCCAGAGAACCACATCCAACATAGCCAAGCCTGGCAGCTGAGGAAGCCTGTGGACAGGCTAGGTAGGGGGTGTGAACTGTCCAAATCAGGGATATGGGTGTGGCACCATCCTTGGCTTTGGAGATCACCCCAGAGGGGCTACGCTCACCTGGACCTGCCCAGGCTCTGGGCCCTGCTCCTCTATCCCTCCCTCTTCCTTTTCCTCTTCCTCGAAGTAGCAGCTGAGTAGGGCCTTCAGCTGGGCACTGCGATCCATGTCAGGCTGCTCGAGGCAGGGCCCACAGCTGGGGAAGGCCACACTGGGGTGCAGGGGTGAGAGGAGCCTATCAAGACTGCCCATGGGGACAGAGTGGATGGTCCCAGCACCTGCCCACCCACTTCCTACCTGTGAAAGGCCTCAGACATTCGGCGCAGATGTGCCAGGGCCTTGCGCTCTTGGGCCTGCACACGGTTGAACAGAAAGTCGCATACCTCGTCCCTCTCCTCAGCAGTCAGATCACCAGGGCTGCGCAGGTGGAACGCCAGCTCCCTGAACTCCACAATCACCCCTGTTCCCTGCAGCACACCTGCCAGAGTGTATCAGGTGTAGGGTGGATGGGTGGGAGGGTGGATGGGTGGCCGGCAGTTGGGTGGGGGAGTAGGGGCAAGCACACCTGTCCTGGGCTCTGGGTCCCACTGCAGCTGACGGAGAGCCTGCTGCACAGATGCCAGCTCCCAGCCCATCGAGTTCACCAGCTCTACCACATCAAATTCCATGGAGCTGCTGCCTGGCCCCATGTCCTCAGGTGGCCACCTGGCCCAGCATGCAGCTGCAAGAGGACACCTGTGCTCCAGAGGAAAGGGGCATGTGACTAGCATCCCTGGCCCTCTGTCCATATCCCTGACCCGGGGTGCTGTGTACTCACTTGTGGGCCAGGGCCTGGAGCTGGGTGGGGCCCCCAGGGCAGCGCAGGTGACAGCGGGAATAGGTGGTTGGCAGCAGCTCCAGCCAGTGCCGGGGATGCAGCTCCAGGTAGCACAGCAGGGTCTCAATGGCTGTAGGGGGGAGTGGGCTCAGGTGGTGTGGGGACAGCCCCCCTCCCCCATCTTCCCGGCCCTTACCCTCTTCTGGCATGTCCAGGGCCTGCACTATTTGCTGTATTGGGAGTGCTCGGGCATGGCCAGGGCAGACCTGTCCCCGCACTGGGGCAGCTGAGTGGCCACTGTGCTGCTTGGCCTCCTGCAGGGGGGCCCCAGCTGTGGGCCTCATCCCATTCCTGCCTCCTTCCTGCTCTGGAGGCTGTGGCGTACAGGAGCAGGGTGGAAACAGGCGCTGTACCAGCTTTTTCAGGGCCAAGAAATCGGCACCGTTGGCGTGCACATGTCTACGCAGCTCCTGCAGGTCCTTGCCCTGTAGAAGCAGAGCTATGAGTCTGTGTGTGGCCAGGGCACCAGGGGCTGGCCTGGTGTGAGGGATGGCAGGGTGCCAACCTGAGGCTGCAGGAAGAGGTGGCAATGGGCAGGCTGCCCATCACGTCCAGCACGGCCCACAGCCTGCACATAGCTCTCAAAGCTTGGGGGCATCCCCAGGTGCAGCACGGCCCGCACATCTGTCCTGTCTAGTCCCATGCCAAAGGCCACGGTGGCCACCACCACCCGCAGATGGCCTTGCATGAAGGCCCGCTGCACTCGCTGCCGCTCCCGGGTGCACATGCCAGCATGATAAGCTGCAGCTACAGTCTCTGGGGCATGACCTTGGGGAAGATGGAGAGATGGCTGGTGGCATCAGGGCTGGCACACGGGGTGGCCCTGGGGCCTACCCTGTGGTGCCCTACCTCTAGAGCCTGGGTCCTGCCCTGCACACAGGCAGGTTCGGAGAAGTGCAGCAACTCGCTCTGTGTCCTCCCGTCGGTTGCAGTAAATGATGATTGAATCCAGGGCACGAAAGCGGTCACCCTGCAGCAGCGTCACCAGAGCCTGGCAGGGAGCAGTGGTCACTGGCCAGGCAGGATGTGGGCTCTCTGCCCAGGACCCTGCTATGTGCACACCTACCTGGTGTGGGTTCCTGTCTACAGACACAGACAGGTGCAAGTTGGCAGGGATGGGGGCTGGCCCACCCCGGCCAAGCTCCTCGGCTACACCCAGGTGCTGGGCTACATCACGAGCAGTGCTGCGTGTGGCTGTGGCTGTGAGACCCAGGAAACAGCGTACACCCATGCGCTCCCGAAGTACCTGCATCAGAAGGGAAGGGTGATGGTGAGGCCACCCAGCCCATGGGGCCCTTATCCATCCACCACCCACCCTGACCCCCCTTGACTCACTTTGCAGATGCGCAGGTAGCAAGGCCGGAAATTGTGTGACCACTGAGAGAGGCAGTGGGCCTCATCAATGCAAGCAAAGGCCACGGGGGGCAGCTGGGAGGCCTGGAGGAAGCTGGCAGGGCCGCCAGTCCCAGCCCCAACCAGTGCCTCTGGGGACAGCATCAGCACATTCACCTGGGCTGCCTGCACCTGAAGGCATCAGGGTTAGGGGCACTACCCAGATGACTACCCACAGACCCCCGCCCATGGGATACCCTGACCTTCTGCAGAACAGACTCCCGCTGCTTCTTGGTCATGCCCGAGTGGAGGCAGGCTGCCTTGAGACATGGGGGCAGGCTGGACATCTGCAGATAGAGGCAGTGCTGTCACAGGCTAGTCCAATCCTGGCTGTCCCCTGAATTCTGCAGGTACTCAACAGGCTCCCTGGGAGAAGCACCAGATCCTGGGTTCTGGGATAAAGGCATTGGCCCTGCCCATTCCCTAGGGCAGCAGTCTCACTTGGCTGGGGGCACTGTGATGACCAGCTGAATTACCCCCCACAAAAAACAAGAATCCTCAGCTGAGGCTGTGGGCCACCACCCCAAAATGCACCCCTCTTTTGGACCACTTTTACTTCCAACCTTTGGGAGGGTCTATAAGAGAGCCCTGGGCCTAGGGCCCTGAAGCTAAGGGGCCTGATGGTGGGTGTTGGGGGTTAGGCCCTGTTACCCTTGAGCACAGGTGAGCAGAAAACCTTGTAGCTCCTGGTGTTCAGGGAACAGAAAGCAACCCCAGGGCACCAGAGGCTTTGGTTCCCAACACTTGATCCACACACCTGGTCATCCATGAGCGACAGGAGCGGGGAGACCACCAGTGTGAGGCAGGAGCTGCGGCGGGCGCACAGCAGGGCAGGAAGCTGGTAGCACAGGGACTTACCAGCACCTGTAGGTAGCTCCAGCAGTGTGGAGATGCCTAGGCCAGACAAGAGGCAGTTGCAAGGCTGTGTCCAAAGGCTAGAGCCAGTCCCCAGTGGCCACACTCACCCGACAGGATCCGCATGACTGCATGCTCCTGCCCTGGGCGGAAGGCTCGGTACCCTAGTTGCTCCAGGGCCTGGAACACCTCAGCTGGTGTCTCTGTGGACACAGGTGTTTGTCAGTAAGGCCTCCAAAGTCTCCCCACCCAGAGGTAAAGGCTCTGGTACAGTAAGTTTCTGCTCACCTGCTACCTGTCCTGAGGGCCCTGGTGGGTAGAGGGGTAGCACTGGGGGGTGCTGGGATGGGGGACACACCTGTAGCTCGGGCCCAGTAAGTCCTGTGTTCTCACCAACTGGGCAGACGAGAGAAGGTATTTTGGGGGCTCCAGGCTGCACTGAAACAGCCTGGCACAGGGGCCACTGGGTATAACCACCCTCTTCCCCTGACTTACTGGGGAGGTGGCAGCAAGCAGTGTCTGCTCTCCAGGCTGCTTCTTCCAAAGTAGGAAAGGACTGCATGTTGTCCCTGTTCTTGCCAATCTCCTTCTGAAGGCTCAGAGTGGGGCCTGGGCCAAGGGTGAGGAGATGACAGGGCGTTATTCGAGTAGAAGTGCCTACCAAAGGGGCTCCGTACTCCCTGCTTAGCACTGGCCCCTCCCATTTATCGGGGTGGAGGCCCTCACCTGGCTTGGAGCACTGGGGAACCCAGCGGCCAAACGGCCCAGACTGGAAACAAGAATCCTTGGCTGGGGGTCTGGCCCCACCCCCCCCGAAACACTCCCCTTTCTTCTGCCACTTCTGTTTCCATGCCTGAGGAGGGCGCACAAGAGAGAATCACATAAAAGGGAGATGGGAGAGGTATGGGGAAGGCCCACCCTTGTCCTGCTATGCCCATCTCACCTGCCTGCGGAGGAGCCTACCTCGAAGGGCCCCACCCCACACATAACGTTTGCGCTTCATGTTGAGCCGGACATAGTTACTTCTGTCCTGGACAGCTGGTCTACGGGACAACGTATGGGCCATCCCCTTAGGCTTCTTTGTCCTAGATGGACTTGAAGAACTGCTACAGGGCTGAGATGGCTGGGCCTGTACAGGTTGCCCTGGAAGGTCTTCTTCAAGTGCTACAGCCCCTGTCCCCTCAGACAAGGGTCCTCTTTGGCTGATGTCCTGCTGGGGCTGCACAGGACTCCCTCCATTCTCACTCCACTTTGGCTTCTTGCCTTGAGGGTTGCTGGGCTGAGGGCTCCCCATACCATTTTGGGCTGCCTGTGGGGCTGGAGTCTCTGGACCTTGTGAGAATTCCTCAGAGCAAGTATTGGGACCAAAGACAAGAAACTCTTCCGACGTCAGGTGTTGTGACTCCTTTCTACCCAGGCCAGGACTGCAGGCACTGGGGGGCTTCAGAAAATCTAAGGGTCCACTGTGGCACCGCTGAAGCCAGCCAGGGTCTAGGGAGCCCAGCCGCAGACTCAGAGATGCCCGAAGCTGCTGGAGCCGGCCTGAACTTCGCTTGGGCTCGGATGGCTGGGGAAGTGTGCCACCACTGACTTCTTCTGGAGAAGTGGGGGCAGTCCTTGGGCTGGGTGGACCTGTGGTGGGCATCTTGGACAAGGGTCTTCGTGGAGGCTGGAGTCTGCTGCCCAGTGTTGGCTCAGCCTGGGACAGGGAGGATAAAAGAGACCCCACTCTAAATGACAGCGCAAGGTAAGATGCACAAACCTGACTGTGAACAAGACTGAGGGCAAAGGCTATCTTTGAGTACCACTTGGAAGTCAAGCCCTGACACACAGGGGCCCTGCCTGTGCCTGCATATAGTGTGGAAAGGTGGACACAAAGGCCTGCCTCTGGGTCTAGGGCACCTTTGGGCCCAGCTCTAATGTATTGCAGCCCACTTCCACTTTTCACCTGTAGTATGACCTTGAGATTGGCCTTGAGCCTCTTTCCATAGTCCTGCACAGATCCCCCCGGGCTCATCTGTGGAGTAGGTTGTGGACTCTGGGTTGCTGCCCGATTCAGGTGAGGTCCCCAGCAGCTGGCCTCGAGAACCTTCAGGAGGAAGAAGCAGGGGTCCAGACCAGAAAAAGGCTGGCAGGAGGGCTGAGGTGTCTGCAACACCCACCCCCAGGGGGAAGGCGTGGCTCTATTCTCCTCCCAAGTTCTATGCTCCGGAGGCTTGGCTGAGATTGCTCTTGGCTCCCAACACCCGGCCATACAGGAAGCTGACCGGCAGGTTGGGGTCACGGGCTCAGGTACCTCCTCCGCTGGGAGCGACGGCTCCGAGCTGCGGAGCCCGCCGCCGGCAAGGACCACCGACTGCTTTAGGGCGCGGTACTCGCGGTAGAGAGCTGGGTGGGTGGGAGGACGGGAGTCGGGGTCAGGGCGGGGTCCGCATCACCTCGCTCCCCCTTCCCCCGGCAGGCCGTCCCGCGCTCCGCGGTCCCCGGTATCGCATTGCTCACCGCGGACGTCCTCGGGCGCCGCCTCCACGTCTTCCTGTGAAGGGAACGTGTCAGACGGAGGCTGCGCCCTCTATAGCTCTCCCCTCCCACTACAGCTCGTACCTGGCCGGGCCGCCGCCGGTGCTGCCGCCGGAACCCGCGCTCCCACTCCTGTAGTTGCGTCCGCACGTCCCGCAGCCGCTCCATAGGGATCCAGTCCCGCGTCCTGCGAATCTTCCCGCCACACCAGCGACGTCGGTCTACCAGCCAATGGAGCTGCGCGGCAGGGCTGGGGCGGGGCCGCTGGGACGGATGACCAATCCGCCGGGCCCTGTAGGGTCGACCAATGGGTCGTGTCTACGTCATCGCCGCGCGCCGCGGGGCTGGGCGGGGCCGGTGGACAGCCGAGGCGGGGCTGGAGACTGTGGTGGTGGCTCTGGGGTCGGTGAGCGCGGGCCGCGGGCCTTGGGCCGAAGTGATGCGGCGCGTCGGCAGGACTGACTGGACAAAGGGGCGTAGCGCCGGGCGCTCGTGCCGGGGAGGCGAGGGCTGGCGCTTGTGAGCCTGGGCGGTGCCGCTGGGGGCGGGAACGGCCTGGGAGACCCCCACGCCGTGAGAACGGCCTCGGGGTCGCCGGGGATTCGCCAGGCCTGGGGGAACAGACCTGCTCGGGCGGCGGAGGGTCGTCAGGTTGAGGGCCCGTAGGAGCCCGACAGGGGCTTTTGCGCTTGTTCCAGCGCCGGACGATCGGGGGCATCGCGTAGAGACTCTTATCCGGGCGGCCAGGTCGGCTGCCTTCGTTTCCTTTTGCGACAGGTGCTCATTCCGTCTGTCTGGTCACCGAGGTATGCATCGTCCTCGCGAGATTTGTGCACGGGAGCGCCAAGCCGAGGGTGGGCATACGGGGTTTCCCAGAAGTGGCTCCTGAAGGGCTTGGCCTCGAGAGGTCAGTAAGCTCAAGGCCCTGTGGCTGGAATGCTCTCTGTCCCTTTCCTGGGCTGTGACCTTGGTCAAGGCCTCGCCTTAGCTTTCCTAACTGTAGGAGGGGGATCAGGGTAAGGTGGCTGGCCCACAGGAAGCAGGGCCGAGCCCTTCTGTCGCAGATATTCTGCAACCTCGGGTCTTTTGCATGCATCTTCTCAGCTTGTGTGCTGTTTGTGCCTCATTTGAGCAAGCTCAGGCTTGGGCCTTTTTGAATCCTTGGTTTCTCTCCACGTTGATTCCTCAGGGAAGAAGAGAGATGCTTAGACAGGTGGCAAGGGTCACAGAAGGTGAGACTTGCTTTTTCTCGGGGGTTTCCATCCCTGGTGACATCCCAGAAAACAGTAATTATCCCTTGGGCTAACGTTGAGGGCCTTGATCCCAGGCCATGTCATTTTAACTCTGTTTCCCAGGTTTTAATCTTTTAAGCCCTGATGTTATTAAGCTGTGTCTGTGCTTTGTGGAATCTGAGAGCAGCCCTCAAATACATCTGTGAGGAAGATGAGGGAGGGAGCTGTGAGGGGGCTGCAGGCCCCCCTGGGAGAACTCCATCTGCTGCAGGCTGACAACGGGCTACAGGGAGGGCCCTGGGCTCTATTCTACTTTTGAGGAAGGATTTCTGAAACAGCTTTGTGATTTGGGGCCAATGGGGCCTCTGCAGAGCAGTAACCATCTGTAGAAGCACAAGTAAACTCAGTGGTGACACCATTTATGTACTACGATGCTTTGTTTTCCTAACAAAGCCTTTTGCTTCTGTAGGTTGGGGCCTGGGGTGTGGCCTTGTCCCTGGTCCACTCTGCCCAGCCAGTGCCAGGTACCTAAGTGGGTACTTCTCTGTGTCACTGTTCTCCACGCTCTGCTCCAGTTGGGCACCATATTGGGCTTTCTCACCACTGTTGTATAGAGTGGATATGACCTAGTGGTATTCTAGGTTTTCTTCACTGAAGCTCCTCTCCTGCAGGTGGCTGCCTGCACGGCCCAGCGCCATGCACACACTTGTGTTCCTGAGCACTCGGCAGGTGCTCCAGTGCCAGCCAGCTGCCTGCCAGGCCCTGCCCCTGCTGCCCCGAGAGCTCTTTCCCCTGCTATTCAAGGTGGCCTTCATGGACAAGAAGACTGTGGTACTGCGTGAGCTGGTGCACACATGGCCCTTCCCACTGCTCAGCTTCCAGCAGTTGTTGCAGGAATGTGCTCACTGTAGCCGGGCATTGCTGCAGGAGCGACCCAGCACTGAGAGCATGCAAGCTGTAATCCTGGGGCTGACTGCTCGGTTCCACACCCCAGAAGCTGAAGCTGGCACACATTCCCTCTGTAGGTATGGACTTACCAGTGGGGACTTCAGGCCTGGAGTTACAAAGAGGGTTCCCTGAGGAGAGCATAGGTTGGGGTGCAAAGTTCCAAGAGCTCTGTGTGGCAGCAGACTGTTGTTCTTGTCCCAAAGTGGCTGGGAGGGGTTGTAGGCCCTGCTCTCTCATCCCATCTCAGGCCATCCCTACTTCTAGGAAGCACACACTGCGGGTGCTGGACATGACTGGTCTCTTGGATGATGGTGTGGAGCAGGACCCTGGTACTATGAGCATGTGGGACTGCACAGCAGCTGTGGCCCGCACATGCATTGCCCAGCAACAGAGCAGGACTGCTGAACCTGGACCAGCCCCTGTCCCTGTGGAGGTTCGTGTGGACCTTCGGGTGAACCGGGCCTCCTATTCATTCCTGCGTGAGGCTCTCCGAAGCAGCGTGGGCAGCCCCCTGCGGCTATGCTGCCGGGACCTCCGGGCTGAGGACCTGCCCATGCGCAACACTGTGGCCCTGTTGCAGCTTCTGGACGCAGGCTGCCTGCGCCGAGTGGACCTCCGCTTCAACAATCTGGGCCTGCGTGGCCTGTCTGTCATCATCCCTCATGTGGCTCGCTTCCAGCACCTGGCCAGTCTGCGACTACACTATGTGCATGGGGACTCAAGGCAGCCCTCTGTAGATGGTGAGGACAACTTCCGCTACTTCCTGGCCCAGATGGGCCGCTTCACCTGTCTTCGGGAGCTCAGCATGGGCTCTTCTCTCCTTTCAGGCAGGCTGGACCAGCTGCTCAGGTGAGTGGGCCCCATCAATGCTCTACCCTTTCCCTCCATGGGGACACTCCCTGGGCCTACTTGTCTGTGACCCCTGTGTCCCCACAGTACCCTGCAGAGCCCCTTGGAGAGCTTGGAGCTGGCCTTCTGTGCTCTGCTGCCTGAGGACCTGCGCTTCCTGGCAAGGAGCTCCCATGCTGCTCACCTAAAGAAGCTGGACCTGAGTGGTAATGATCTGTCAGGAAGTCAGCTAGTGCCCTTCCAGGGTTTGTTGCAGGCGGCAGCAGCCACACTGCTGCATCTTGAGCTGACTGAGTGCCAGCTTGCTGATGCCCAGCTAGTAGCCACACTGCCCACCTTGACCCGCTGTGCCAGTCTCCGCTACCTTGGCCTCTATGGCAACCCGCTATCCATGGCTGGCCTCAAGGAGCTGCTGCGGGACTCAGCGGTACAGGCTGAGCTGCGCACCGTGGTGCACCCCTTCCCCGTGGATTGCTATGAGGGCCTGCCCTGGCCTCCACCTGCATCTGTCCTTCTGGAAGCCTCCATCAACGAGGAGAAGTTTGCCCGTGTAGAAGCTGAGTTGCACCAGCTGTTGCTGGCCTCAGGCCGTGCCCATGTGCTCTGGACAACAGACATCTATGGGCGACTAGCTGCAGACTACTTCAGCCTGTGACCTCCTGGCTTTGGATGAGACAGGCCAAGAGCTTTTGCTGGGACTCTGCTGGAGGCCTGACAACAAAGACCGGTCTCAGGTTTCCTGCAGAGTCTGTCTTGCTCCTGGGCACACCTTAAGAGTCCCATGCTTTCTGCAGTGCCCTGCACCTGCTCCCTAATGGCTGGCTGACTGTGGGCCCCGTGCTGGATTTCAGGCCTGCACCACCCTGCTCAGTATAGCTGCACTTGGCTCTCTGTGGATGTACCTGGGATCCCAGCTGTTATCCAAGGGACACTTCCGGGCCCTTTGCATCTCCTGACCAAGAGCACAGCACTGTGGGGCTGAAGGTGGGGCGAGGCCTAGGTCCTGATGCAGCCTTTGGCCTGTACCGTGTTCCCTGCCCTGGCGCTAGAGCCACCCCGCCAGCTGGCTATGGGGCTGGAGGGTGGTGTCAAGGTACAAACGTGCAGCGTGTCTGGAGTTTGAATCTTTGCCTGTTTATTCTATTCCAACTGGCCAGTGTGACTTCCCCACCTCTGTTATATCCCCAGCATGGCTACTGGGAATCAACTAGCACCTGGCCTGCTGCCCCTCCCTCTGGCCGCGTAACCCCACCAGCACTGCAGGCCAGGGCTCTCCCCGGGCATCGTGGACCTTCCAGGTCACGGCCCCTCGCGGCTCTGTCTGGAGCTTGGTGCTCTAACGCAGCTTCCACCTTTACTGATGAGCATGCGCTATGCCACGCGGGCCAATGAACGGCGCTCGCGTCATCGGCGCGCGCCGCCGGCTCAGCAGTGGATTTCGTAAGCGACGCGCGGCGGGAGGCGGAGTGAGGGGGGCGGCCCTTCTGGCGGTCTGCCCTCGGTCGGCGCTTCTGGCGGCCCCTCGGCGAATAGGGGCTTAGAGCGGTCGATGACGAACATCTCGTGGCCGCGCTCGTCGCGCAGCTCTTCCAGCTGCGCGAAGGTGCAGGGCCCGTCCGAGTAGTCGTTGACGAACAGCGCGCCCTCTCCTGGCTGCGCGCCCGCCTTTTTCCGCCGCCGCCGCCGCCGGCAGATCATGGCGGCCAGCAGCAGCGCCGTGAGCGCCAGTAGCGCGATGGCCGCCGCGATGGCTGTCTGCGTGGCCAGGCCTAGCGCTCGAAACGCCATACTCCCCGCCTCGTGCCTCGGGGCGCGGCCTGGGGGGCGGGGCGGCGGGGCCGGTGGCGGCTGCCGGGACGCGTTAACCAGGAGGCGGAAGGGCACGCTCGCGGCGCCTCCGGCGTTGGCGGCCTCGCACTCGTACTTTCCCGCGTGCGCCAGGGTGATGTTGGTGAGGAAGAGCATCCCGCTGCCGGTGTCCGGGGCGGCCTGGCCACCCAGGCCTGGCGCTCCGCCTTCCGGCTGGGCCTGCGCCTGCGGACGGTCCTCCCGAGGCTGAGGCACCTTCCTCCAGGTCACCAGGGGCTGCGGGTAGCCAGAGGCTTGGCAGGCCACCCGCAGGTCCTCCCCTAGGTTGGCTGTGAGTTCCAGCGGCTCCACGTGCACAGAGGGAGGAATGCAGATGAGGCTACTGCCCGACACCTCCAGCAGACTGTGCAGTGCCAGACGCGGTGGCTCTGCACACGTGATCTTCTTGTCTCTGGTGCTGAACAGTCGCTGACCCCCCTCCTTGATCCAAGCGCCCAGCCAGTGGAGGGCGCAATCACAGCGCCATGGGTTCTCTGTAGGCAGATCGAGAATACAGTTGAGGTTCTGCTGGGCCCGGCAGAAGCCCACACCCCACCTCCTATAGCCACCTCGGTGGAGTTTCTTCTCTGAACCCCGGTTGCTGGGAATGAGGAAGGCCTTTCACCCCACTTTAGTTCAGTGATGCCCACACAGGTATTCCAGCAACACTGAAACTTACAACAGATGCCCTCTCCTGGAAACACCCCCAATCCTGGTCAGCTCTTTCGCCTGCCTGCCCTTTCCTGGCCTCAAAATGTGAAAGAACCTCAATTCTGTTAAGTCATTCTGGATCGCCTACCTTTTCTGTCTTAGGCAGGTGCCTAAGTTATGCATCTATCAGAACTTCAGTTCCCAGCTGCCCTTTACCAGAACTGCAGGGTGGTGGTGTGGCCCTCCAAAATGCTACCCAATGGTTTATCATAGGGACCCCCTCCACACCTGGGCCTGCTCCCTACTGATGCCACTGAGCCCAGTTAGGGACCCCGGCCTGAGGAGTTACCTGTGAGGCGCAGGACTTGCAGGCTGGCCAAGGGCTGCAGGGCCTCACGGCTGATGGTGCCCAGTTGATTCCTGCTGAGGTCAAGCAGGGCCAGGGAGGAGAGCCCTGCCAGGGCCTGGTCCTCCAGCAGCTCAATGCTGTTTTCTTGCAGGTGCAGCTCCTGCAGTCGCTGGAGTAGGGACAGCAGATCATCAGGAAAAAGGGCCCAGGGGAGCTAGGCTAGGTTGACTTTTCTCCCCTAACAACTACTACAGCGCGCTGGATGACTGGCAGGACAAGAAGATCCCGCGCTTTTGGCCTCTCACCGGCAGGTGCAAGAAGGTGAAATCCAGCAGCCGCGCCAGCTGGTTGCCAGCCAGGTAGAGTACACGCAGCTGGGCTAGGCCCGCAAAAGCCCCTCCCCGCAAGCCACGTAGCCTGTTGCCTGTGAGGGCCAGCTCCAGCAGGCGCGGTTGCGCGCGGAAAGCGCCCGACTCCAGAGCACGCAGACTGTTGTTGTGCAGGTAGAGATGGCGAAGGGCGGCGAGTGGCGCCAGGGCGCCTGGCTCCAGACGCGCGATGTTGTTGTCCTGCAGGAACAGCGTCTGCGGGCCGGGGGAGGGCGAATCTTACCCCACTGCAGGAGTCTCTCGCTCCATTGGGGCGCCCCACCGACCCCACCCGGATGCTCACACAAGGCTCCCTCCATCCCATGGGCACTCGCAGCCTGCTCCAACCCGAGGCCCGGTGGCCCCACATGGTGCCCACCTGCGTCCCTGGGGGGATTCCCAGTGGGACGACGCGCAGCCGCAGGGCACCGCACTCAACCGTGGCGCTGTAGCAGCGGCAGGCGGCGGGGCAGCCGGCGGCGCGAGGCGGGAGCCCTGGCAGTGGCGGCAGCAGCAGCAGCCCCAGCAGCAGCAGCAGCAGCAGCAGCACAGGAGCCCCCGGGGCCATTTCCCTAGAGAAAGGCCTGGGACTGCGAGCCTCCCCAGGGTTGGCCCCAGATGCGATGGATGCACCTCCTGAAACACAGGTTGGCAGGCCACTGCTAACATTATAGAGCCAGCCCAAGAGCACGAGTGGAGGCCCACACAACCTGTGTCTAACTTTCACAAAGTTTTAAGTCAGTTCGTGTGCTGGGGATTGTAAGTCAGTGGCAGAACACCTGCCTACCATACACGAGGCCCTGGGCTACCCTGTCTGCAACCCCCACTCCCAATAAAGAAACTGATGAATAAAATTTTCTAGTTTCCTTCCTTGACAAAAACACCAAGACTGAGGGCAGGAGGTTCAAGTTGAGAATTCTTGGTGTCCTGTTTCCCCAGGATGTGGCCATGTGGGGAGGGCAACCCATTCTCAGACCCCTTCCCATGCCTGTCCTGAGGGCCCTCTGCTCATGCACAGCACAGCTGGTTCAAGCTCCCTCTGACCCTGCTGACTCAGCCCCGTGGCTCCTGAGCTGGGACCCAGGACTACTCGGCAGCAAAATCCGGGACCTACCCAAGCATAGACCAGAAGGAGGGAACGGGCCCTGGGCAGGCATGTCTTCACTCTTGTCTTCACTCTCAGGACTGGCACAAACCTAAGGCTCAATCCAAAGCAGAGTTCCTTAGGTGCCCCTAGGACAAGACCTGTCATCTCACTTCAAACTCTAGAATTAACACTGGAAGCAGGTATGCTCTGGCTCCACCTGGTGGTTCATACATCATGACTTGAAGGGAGACCTGGGCAGAGGGGGAGCCAGATGACAGAGCTGGGGCTTTTCCTCAAGTAACTTGTAGAGAATTGAGGATGAGGCAAACAATAGGAAAGTTAATTCAGGAACTATGGGCTGGGGCTCCCTAGGCTGGCTCCGGAAAGAAAGCCCCTGTCTTTGGGGTAGGTGGAGTGCTGGGAAAGATTGGGTGTGAGAGACGGGCCTTAGGTCACCAATAAAGCTTTTGTGTTTCTTCTTTGTGTGTGTGTGTGTGGGGGGATTGACCCCAGGGTCTCACATGTTAGTTAAGCACATACTCCACCACTGAGCTACTCCAACCACACCAACTGGGTTTCAGGTGTGGTTTTATAAGTGGGCCAGAGAGAATAGGAAGAAGCATGTGGTTTGCAGGGGTTTATGTGCATGTATCTGTGGCCTCAGGGATGGGAAAGCTGGGGTCTAGTTCCAAACACAAGAACCCAGTTTTATAGGTATGGGCGTGACTGAGTCAAGATGAAAGGTGCCAAATGGCTTCAGTGCTTGTTTCAATTCTGCTCTAAACTGTAACTCACACGATTATTTATAATCAGGACATATGAGTAAGCATAGCAATAAAGTTTTAATGGAAAAGGCAGAGGCGGTTGCCAGGGGTCTCAGGATGTGTGTGAGCCCCCAAGAAATGGGACTGGGGGGGGGGGGCGCATTCTTTGGGCCCATGGCATTAGTCTCCCTGAGCACCAAGGGGCGGCCTCCAGCTCCAGGACTCACCCACCCGCCCAGCCTCCACCCACCCAGCCTCCAGCAATAAAGCCTTGGTTTCTTCCTTGGCTCGGCGCTGCAGCTCTGGAGGACCCGTTAAATACAAACTGGTGTGGAAAGACTGCCCGGACAGGGATGAGGGACCCGGATGAGGGCCCAGAAGTCCTTTTACCAGCGGACAAACCCTAATCCGGCTTAGCAGGGGGCTGGGGGCACCCGGTGTCCTCTCTCCGGCACACTGGAGCCAGGATCTCCGGGTGGTCCTTGCGACCGGCGCTGGGATCCTGCACGAAGTCCCCTTTCGCCCTCTCGCGCAGGTAGGTGCAGGCCTGCGATCGTGGAGGGCGTGGTATCCGCGTGCCCTCCCCCGTGCCGGGTTGCACACCCTTCTAGGTGCGTGCCGGGGTCCGAGCCGGGGAGGTCCCCGATCCCGCCCCTAAGCCCGGTGACCTTGGGTCGGGGCCCCCCCCTCACCTGACGCTCCGGCGGCTCGCGGCTCCCCGCCGAGCCTGCGGCGGCCTGGCTCCAGCAGAGGCGGGGCGCGCACGCGCACCGGAGCCCCGCGCCTCCTGCGCCCGCCGCCCGGGCCTGACGTCGGGAGCGCGGGCCAATCCAGAGGATGCCCGGAAGGGGAGCGAGGAGCGGAGCAAGGGGCGGCGCCGAGCCCTAGGACGGGCAGCAGCACCTCGGACAGCGCCAGCAGGCGGAGCCCCGGCGCACTCCACGCACGCGCACGCGCACGCGGCCGGCGGAGCGCAGGATCCGCGGGAACTCCGGAACTGTCCGCGGCTCAGGACCGCGGAGTCGCCAGCAGCAGCGGGGCCAGCTCCATGGTGAGGGCGAGGCGGCGGCCCTCCCAGCGCACGTGCGAGGGCAGCGCGGGAGCGCCAGGGCCGTACTCGAAGCAGGCGCTGAGCTCGAAGGCCAGGGCAGAGCGCACCAGGCCCACGCCGCCCGCGCGCTCTGGCGCCGGGTGGTACAGGCGCCCGTTGGCCGCCAGGGGCAGCAAGCGCGCCGGCTCGAAGGGCACTGCCAGGGCCTCGCCCCCGCCGCAGTAGGAGAGGCGAGAGGGCCCGCGGCCCGTGGCCAGCAGGTGCGTGAAGACCACGGGCCGGTCCTCACAGCGCAGGAAGTTGCGCTCTCTGCCGCACAGTGAGAGGAAGGGGAAGGCGGCCTCGTAGCGCCCGCTGCGGTTGGGTTTCAGGCGAGAGAAGAAGGTGACCAGGAACTGCAGGTCTGGGGGGAGCAGAGAGTGCGGCTGCTCACCTCGGCAGGCGCCTCACCCCGGACCACACCCAAGGCCGGCGCTGGCCTCACTGCGACAGCGGGGCACCTGGGTCGGGGCCCGGGGCAGGGCCTGTCCTCGGCTGTCCTGAAGGGCGAAGCAAGGGGTGCAGCAGTACCTTTGAAGCAGGTGATGAAGTTCTTCATTTTGGAATCATCCAGGAAGAGCTGCAGAGGACAGGCCGAGGCCAGTGAATGAGACCCCGTGGGTGTGTTCACTGTCTTGCTGTTCCCTGTGCAGGGCGGCGCTTTGAAAGTAAACCCCGGGCCTGCTGCCTTTCCGACATCTACCCGCAACCCGAGTCATGCTTCCTTGCACTTTCGGTGCCTTTTCCCCTCTTCCTTGATTACAAAGCAGGCCGAGCCTCCCCACGCGGGCACTCGACCTCCCGAGCCGCCCGCGGGCTCAGGACGGCGGAGTCGCCAGCAGCAGCGGGGCCAGCTCCAGGGTGAGGGCGAGGCGACCGCCCTCCCAGCGCACGTGCGAGGGCAGCGCGGGAGCGCCAGGGCCGTACTCGAAGCAGGCGCTGAGCTCGAAGTCCGGGGCAGAGCGCACCGGGTTTTTCCCGCTGATTGTCTGGGCTCTGCAGAGTGGGGCTCACGCACTTCCCGGGTTCCCCCCTTTCCCTTGGCCTACGAGGACTCCTCTCCTCGTCAGTACGCACCGGGACTCCAGCTCCTGTCCCGCCCCCACAGAGGCCCTTCCCCTTCCCGGCGCCCTGCCTCGCTCCCCACACACCTGACCCTGATGATCCACGTAGTAGAAATACTCGCGCGTCCGGGGCTCCGGGCTCTGGCCCTGCGTGTAGGAGACGCCCCCGTCTCCGCTGCAGGCCCGGGCTCCCCGCGACCGCGCCAAGGCTAGGGCCGAAGCGCTGAGCGCCCCGCAAGTCCGCCACATCCTCCCGCTCCGGAAGCGGCCGGCAGGTCAGGCGGGGGACGGTGCACGCGAACAGGCGTCCGCCGGCGCCGTGGCCTCGCGCCTCGGGTTCCGGCCCCGCCCCGCGACCCGCAGCGACGGAAGGAACCCGAAGCGGCGCGCGAGTGTCCACACGAACTTTATTCACACGAAAAGCGGTCCCTCGGTCCACGTGTCAGAGCACGTCTGTGGCCCGCTCAGGGGCCGGCTCGGCAGGGCTGGCTGTTTTGTTTTAATAATAAATAAAAACTCAACTCTAAAAAATATATATATAAAAACCGGGAGAAATTAAGTTGGACAACAGTTGGAACTGATTCCAGAACGGGAACGCAGGCGAGTCCGGCCCAGCCGCCGCGCGGCGCGGGGTTGGGCCGGGAGCTGCGGGTGAGGAAGGAGGGTGCGAGTGCTCTGCACGAGGGCGGTGAGGACGGCTCAGAGATAAATAGCATCTGGTTAGAACTATGTCCTTAGCAAATTCAGTCCCGACGTCTGTCGCTCTATTCATATCTCTATGCACAAGAGGGCGGGGTGCGGGATGGAATCTGGACTCGTAGGTACACCACGAAAAAAATACTCTCCCCCCGCCCCAAGAGTGCCTGCCCGGCCCTGCCCGCCGCGAGGACTTTGGTTCGGGGCCCTCCCCGCGCAGGAGAACCGCGGCCTGGCGGTGGGCAGCCGGGGCTCTGGAGCGGAGAGGCCGCGCGGCGTGGGCCGCGGCCAGCCGGGAGGGCAGTGTCGCTCGGCTCCGGGGAACAGAAGGCACTTCTCGGGGCCGGCGGGGCCTGGCATGCTGCCCCGGCGGGGCCCCCGCTCCCGCGTGCGCCGCGCAGCCCGCCGTCCGTGGTGCCCGCGTGCTATAGCACGCCCTCCATAAAGCTGGTGTCCAGGTGCTGGATGAGTACGCGCAGGAAGGACATCTCCTTGCGTGTGTTCTCGAAGATGACGCGCGGGTCATCCGACTGGCAGCGCAGGCAGTTGGGCGCCATCACCATGGCCAGGTTGCTGACGTCCATCTTGGTGATGGCCACGTTGGCAGGCTGCACGAACACCTGCGGAGGGGAGGAGCGGAGGGCGTGGCGGGTGGACCAGAGGCCCGGGGCGCGGGCAGGGGGCGCGGGGACGCGGGCCGGGCGGGGCGCGGGTACCTGAAGGAAGCGGATGAGGTAGCACAGCACCATGCGATTGATGCGGGGCAGCGCGTGCACCACGGCCACGGCGGCCTCGGGACTCTCATAGTGAGCGATGCACTGCTCGTAGAACTCGTGCGGGATCAGGGGCTCCTCCAGTTCCCGGTACCACAGCTTCAGCAGCGACGCTGTGGGCGAGGGCGGTTCAGGTGGGCCTGCTCTGGGAACGCATGGGCCTGGCAGCCCGCTCGGACCGCATCAGGGAGCGTAGGGAAAGGGCTTTCTGGAAAAGGTTCCCTGCCCAGGTCTGCGGCCACTGGCGCGGCTGCATCACAGGCTAAATCAATCTCCATGTATATATCCCCTTATAAAAGGTATCCTGGCCGTTCAATTTTCCCAAGATGGAAATTTGAAACAAAAGTTTCTTAGATCTTCCTTCAAAGCTGGCTTTGAATAAAACCTAGGGTCCTGCCAGTCTGACTCAGTATCTGTGGATGGAGGAGTGGCACAGTCCAGCCCCCCCCCCCCCCCGCCCCCAGTGCGGGATATATCCGACTAGTGATGGGCCGGCCCCAGAGCTGCGGAAGGAAGGCCATGAGATACAGCAGGGAAAGAAGCTGTGGGTGACAGGAGGAGTGAATGGACAGAGGCTTTGGTCTGAATGGCCATCGACCCTCTAGGCAGTGCATGCTCTGGTGTTGAGTGGTTCAGGGACTTACCTGGGACGTGGGGGTCCTCCAGGCCTGTGGGCACCTTCCACTGATCCACCTGGAGCTTCAGGGCGTTTACCTCATCAATGTCTCCAGGCACCCTGCGGAGCACAGGGCAGGTCTCAGGCTGGAGGGCCAGTTTGGAACAGTCCTCGAGGCCTTTTCTCAAAGGGGAGGGTGCTGTGACAGCCTCATGGCTCTCTTTTGGGTTCTCCCCCTTGTGCTTGGGTCGGGGGTGTGGGGTCTCCCTTCCTAGACCCTCTGCAGGCTGTTAAGGCTCAAGCTTGCACACCTGTGTCCCACATTGGGGAGACTTTTCCTTCTGGGGCTTGGGCAGCCTGCTCTTGAGAGGTGAGTCAGGACAGGGGCTGTGCATCCCTGTTCACACGTGGGGATGATAAGCCCAGCTGCTGCAATGCTCTGATGCCTAACTGATCTCCCCGCTGGGGCTCACAGCTTAGGACAAGCACCCTCTGGACCCCTGGTGGCCATTTCTGCAGAGGCAAAAATCTCTGCGGGTCATTGTGCTGCCAGACTGAGGATGAACCAGCAGACCTGCCTCCTAAGGATGGGCCCTGACCTTCCTCTCTTGGCCACATGTCCCTTGGGATCAGCTTCCGCAAGGTGGCCCACCCTTCCATCTACTCTGAGGCAGGGGCATGGATGCAGGCCTCATGGGCCTCCAGAGATGCACTGTGGACACAAGCCTGTGTCTCCCACATCCAGGGACCAGGGTTGACAAGGCACCTGAAGATGCCCTCCGTCTGGTCACCGTTGAGTGCCAGCACCTCCTCGGAGAGCCTCGTCTGTACCCAGGGCAGCTGCCGGTCTGGGTAACGTTCCTTCTGCATGCTCATGACCTCCTGCAGTGCACTGCCAAACATGGATGGGCTGAACACAGCATTCTTGGCGTGCCGGATCTCCTCCACGTTGGGCTTCTTTAGCCCCTGTGAAGACAGCCAGGCTCTTCTGTCCTGGTCTGGCCCAGCCTTTCTCCTGCTAACCCCCCTCCCCCGCCCCAAGGATCTTCTCTTCCCTAACCAAAGCCAGGGACAGTCTCAGAACCCTAGCCATCAATTCACCAAGGGGGCCTCTTGCTGGGCCACCTACAGCACCCAAAACTTCAGTGGGCCCCCTGGCCATGCAGGAAGGTGGATGGGCCAGTTTGAGCTATCAGGGTGGACCACAGTGGGGGGGCCAGGTCTGTTGATCTGTGATGGTTCTGGAAGCCCAACTGGCAGGGGGAGTCCTCTGGTGAGATAGGCCAGAATGGCTGGAGAAACATATATGAGGAATAGGAAGTGGGGAAGGGGCCAGGGTCTGGGACAGGCACAGGGGGCTCAAGAGACATCCTGGACAAGGGTGGGAGGAGGGACAGAGCCAGAAAACAAAGTCCAGCTGTGTGCTGTAACTGAGGCCTCAATGTTCTTTGGAGTCAGAGAGGCTTTGCAGGGAGGGGCTTAGGCTCCCAGAGGATGCAAAGGCAGGGTCTCTTCCAGGCCCACACTGCAGCCTGAGCCTGCCAGGCTGAGGGAGGGACCCCTCCAGAGGGTGGTCTCGTGGCCTGCCATGGCTGTACCTGACTCCTGTATCTCATCACACCAGCTGGTTTCTTGGGTTGGTGCACCCAGGATGCTGTTCCCTGGCGGTCCCTCCCATGCACGAGGGCAGGCTGGGCACAGCCAGGCAGCTGGCCCACTCATGCGAAAAGGCCCCTTAATGCGGCCCTGTGCAGGACACACCAGTTTGCCTGCACCACTTCTGAATTGGGGGTCCAGGCATGGAGAGGAGCCTCCTGAGGGGAAAGGGGGCATGGTACAGGAGGAGGGCCTTGAAGCCTTTTCAGCCAGCTGCCTAGGTGCACCCAGCACCCTCTCTGCCACTCAGTGCTCCCCTGAGCCTCACACCTCCCCACCACACTTTGGCTGGGATACTCCTCCCAGCGTGCTTGTACCTTCTTGGCCCCTGTCAGGGCCGCCTTCTGCAGCTTGTGGTAGCAATACTTGGCGTAGGTGCTTATCGCCACCCCTGGAAAAGAATGGGTGCTGGTCAGCCTGGGGTGGATGTGCAGGGACTAAGAGAGAGCAGCGACCTGTGGGGGCCCTGGGGGATAGATGGCTTGGCTATGCTCCCGCCCACCCTTGACTAGTACAGCAGCCCCCACTCTTAGGTAATGTCCTTTAGAGTGGAGCCCCAAGTGGAGAGGCTTTCCCCACGTCCCTGTGCCAGGCTGGGGGATCCCCTCTGCCAGCCCACCCAGGACAGGAAGGCCAGGCTGGGGATCAAGCTGCTTCCCTGTATGAAAACACAGGGAGGATAGAGCAAACTCTGAGCCCCAAGGCCTCCAGACCTCCCCTACCCTCCCTGGCCCCGGGAAGGAGTGCCTGGATAAGACACCACGCCGTGCGGAGGGCAGGTAGAGCTCTCCTGCAGCCCTGGTCTTTAGCCAGGGGCCCTCATGGGTCTGAGGCTGCCTGGAGATGGGGTAGGAGTGAGGGTAAAGGGAAGCAAGGCCCTGGTCCTAGGCCACAGTGTGAGGGGGAATGTGGAGCAGGTGTCAGCATGCTCTACCCCATGAGAGGGCAGGGCGGTGGCAGGACCACCTTTGGACCCTTTGAGAATGGGAACCAGGCCTCCAGGAAAGGGCCTTCTGTAACTCAGCCTCCCTGAAGCAGAGGTTCTAGCTGCGAGTCCTGTAGGGTCAGGAGATGGCAGGCAGAAAGACCAAGACAGTGCAAGTGAGAGAAAGGAAAGGAGACAGTAAGGCTTCCCCTGGGACCTAGGATGTGTGCTACCCCTCCTGGCCTAAGCAGGAAAGGGGTGGGGAGGCAGGGAGAGAAGATGCCTGAAGCCGGGGACAGGCAGGCAGCCTGAAGCATGTGCTATCTGGGCATGGGACCCTGCTCTCGAAGGTGCTGCCCGTCCCCACACCTGTTGCCTCCCAGGGTGTAAGGGAGGCCTCTAGACCCAGGCCTTCACAGACTTTGCCTTCTTTTAAAGGAAGCAGTTTCTGTGGATGTCTGCGGACACAGGGGTCCTTAGACTCAGTTCAGAAAACATTTTAACACAAATGTCTTGATTCATGAGAACATCATTTTGTTTCTAGTTATCCTAAAATGGCTCTCTCCTTGTGTCTGTGAAAGAAAATTCTTTTTAAATCAAGAAGACAAAGGCTTCTCACAGACAACCTGGACAACCTTCTCCAGGCCCCAGCAGGTATTGATCCAGTGCCTGGATCCTTCTACCACAGGCCATTCCGAGGGCCCCTCATTTTGAGGGAATGAACAGACAGTGCTTAAGCAGATGGGACTCAGGCCTTACCCCCACAATGTTCAGAGCCTAGAAGCTTTGCAGAAAGCAGCAGGTGGAGAAGCTTCCAGGCCCTGGTTCAGCCCAGCAGTGAGGATACCTGCTCACTGAGCAGGAGAGGTCTGAGGGTAGTGGCAGGGCTGCTTCCTGTCCCTAAAGCAAACACCCAGACCTTAGAGCCTGTGACTGCTTGAACCAGGATGGTGTCCTGGGGCCACTACCTCTCAGCTGATGATCTCTGAGCCTCAGTTTCTTGGTGTTAGGGATTAAACCCAGGGGGCACTTAACCACAGAGCCACATCCCCAACCCCTCACCCCCAGCCTTAATTTTTTGACATAGGGTCTCACTAATTTGCTCAAGGCCTTCCTAAGTTGCTGAGGCTGGCTTTGAACTTGGGATCCTCCTGCCTCAGGCTCCCGAGTTGCTGGGATTACAGGTGTGCACTGCTGCTCCTGCCCTTTTCTTGGAGGAAGGACTGGGGCAGCACAAACTCACA